GATCGATATATATATATATAGATAGATAGATAGATAGATAGATAGATAGATAGATAGATAGATAGATTGATTGATAGATAATTAGATAGATAGATAGGTAGATCGAGAGATAGATAGCTATCTATCTATTCTATCTATCTATCTATCTATCTATCTATCTATCTATCTATCTAATAGATAGATAGATAGATAGATAGATAGATAGATAGATAGATAGATAGATAGATAGATAGATAGATAGATGCACATGCTCGGTAAAATAGATGGTGTGTGTGATAACTTTCGTCTATACGTTTATGCCCGACACGCTGTAATAACATGGGCGACTCTTTATTTTGGACAACTGGTATCATTGACTTTCACCCAGAATTCACACGTTCCAAGCGTACCCTGCGTCACTGTCGAGTCTACAGACGATTGATAGAAACTTGAAAAGATGAGAAGCAGGCAAACAGTTGCGAATATGACCACATTCATTATCCGTGCATTCAATAGACAAGAGGGATCATGGTCCAATAATTCTTCGTGTTTTAAGATAGGGATTTGGCAACATATGAGAACGAATTAACCTATTACGATTATGAGAAGTTTTTTCGTGTCATATCGCAATCGTAGCGTGATTGAGAGAAGCACAGAACACGTAAACGCGTCATTAGGTGAGCGAAGAAACCCTTAATATAATCTGGAATTTCCATCCGCCAGTAAATAAGTTATTATTTTGAACTTCTCGAATTGAAAATACTTCGATTACATACATATATTTCATTATTCGCCAAGTTTATTTTATTGAACGCGATACGTAATTTTAAAAACAAACAATAGTTATAAACAGTTTCGGGAGATCACAACATACATACGTTAATTGATCATCACAGACTGTAACCGCGCAATATTTAGCAAGTAGCTCTATGAACCTGACTCGTCTTATAAGGTTCTTACTGAGTCAATCTATTTATTCCTGAGGAAAGAGCTCAAGGTTAAAAAGCAAAAAGACAGAAATATGACGATTGATTTCTAGTTTTGAACCTCTCTATACAGTAGGCAACGTTTCCGAAAATAGTTCCCGAGGCCGTCACGTGACAGTTCGTTCTTATTGCGTAGCAGGATAAGCACACGATTCTCTCGCTATATGCCTTGCTAAAAATCATAAATAGTAGGGGGCCTATATCGGAACATGCATTTGGTTCCACGTAGCTCCACCTTGTAAATACATAAGATGGCGCCTTTGCTCTTTCTGCATTTTTGCTCCGGAACGACCGAAATAGGCACTGGAATAGCTGAGACCAGCTATATGGCATCAATGAAATCTAAGACGGGGAAATGCTAAATTAAATGCTACATGACATGGATATGTCAAATATAACTGCGCTGATATAGAGAAAAATAGATCCAGAATATTTATAAAACTACCGATAACCCGGAAAAAGAAGCCGAGTAAGGTAAAGCAAAATATTGTCGATGAAATTGCTAGTAGCTTACAGATATTTGCTGCGGCATAACATATAAGCAAACACGCCGCTATACGTTAATAATGAGGCGAGTATAGAAAAAGAAGCGGATCTTTGCTGCTGTACACGTACTACTAACTAGGATAGATAGACAGATAGAGATAGATATCTATCTATCTATCTATCTAATCTATCTATCTATCTATCTATCTATCTATCTATCTATCTATCTATCTATCTATCTATCTATCTATCTATCTATCTATCTATCTATCTATCTATCTATCT